GCTTAGCTTAGCAATAAGAAATCTGTTCTGTTTCATGTCACATGTTTGGGGGAAAAATACTAATGATGAAAGTACAGCTTTAAATAAGCTGTGATACTGTGATGCACACTACTCAGAAAGAGATTTAATTACAAAATTCAAGAACATTCAACATAATTCACTGTCTGATAGAACTAGAAAATCTTCAGTCAACTCACCTTGGATTTTTTAGTGTTATTTAGTCAGCATGACTCACCCAACAGTTTAAAGTGGAGCAAATGCTAATTTTGCATACAGTAAATGCTCAGCTCATATCTGCTAGGTGAAGTGTAACGCCAACTGTCCGACTACTTGTACCAACTGTGAGGCAGGGTTAATTTTTGTAACTGGGCAAGTTGTTTTCTTGGAACCACGCATTTCATTACATCATTTTAAATCTAGGCTGTAATACCTTTCCTTTTCATTATATTTACAGTTTGCATAATACAGATTGGTGATAAACCAAAACATAAAGCCAAAGCAACTCAGGAGTTTATAAAAACAAAGAAGTGGAATATTCTTGATACAGTTCAAGATTCAAGATTCAAGGTCTTTATTGTCAAATGCCGTTTCACCCCAAGGCCCCCATGGGCCATTTATAAGAATATAAAAATATATCTCCAAGAGATATAAAACTAGAAATTACAAATAAATATTAACTCGTTAAATTTGGGTAAAATTAAGCAATAAAAATGTACTACTACTAACTATATCTATGTACAATAAACAAAGAGAGGACAGAGACAATACGAAGTGGTCATGTGCAATTACAGTAAAATGAGATGATTGTGCAGTAGTTATTGTATACCAGGTTCAAGTTATGGTCAAGATATTGTAGATAAGACAGGACGAAGACATGTGCAAGATGCAAAATGTGCAAATATTGTATAATGTAGATGTGTTCAGTAACTATGTGTCTGAGTATGCAAAATAAGCATATTGTTCCTAGGTCGAGTTTGTAGTGCATTTGTGGAAGTTTGTGTTGTTTTTGAGTCTTTTGGTGAGTAGTGTATTGTAAGGTCTTTGTAAAAGTGTTTGTCAGTCCGTTGGTGGTAGTGAGTTGAGGGATCTGACTGCTTGGGGGAAGAAGCTCTCGCAGTGTCGGGCCGTTACGGTTTTGATGCTGCGAAACCGTCTGCCAGATGGAAAGCCGTCTGCCACCCCTCACTTTCCAATGTGAGGGGTGGAAAGTGTCCTTCAATATGCTGTTTGCACGTCGGATAATGTGTTTGTCGTAGAGTTGGGAGAGGGCCTCCAATGATTCTCTCTGCTGTCCTCACTATCCGCTGCAGAGGCTTCTTTTCAGCAAATGTGCAGTCCCCGTACCAGATAGTGATGTAGCAGCAGAGGACGCTCTCAATGGTTCCCTGGTAAAATGATGGGAGGATGGGAGGAGGGAGACTGGCCTTCTTCACTTTCCTAAGAAAGTGAAGTCGTTGTTGGGCTTTCTGCATGATGGTGGTGGTGTTCAGGTTCCAGGAGAGGTCATCTGATATGTGCACACCCAGGAACTTCATACTGTTGACCCGTTGATGTGCAGTGGGGTGTGGGCCATTGAGCTCTTCTTGGAGTTAACAACCATCTGTTAGTCTTCTGAACATTTAGAGACAGGAATATTCTTGAATGGCCAAGTTAGTCACCTGATCTTAACCCAACTGAGCATGCACTTCACTCGTTAAAGACTAAACCTCAGACAGATAAGGGCCCACAAACAAACAGCAACTGAAAGCTGCTGCAGTAAATGCCTGACAGAGTATTAAAGAGGAAAACCAGCATCTGGTGATATTCACGAGTTCAAGACTTCAGGCTGTCATTGTCAGTAAAGGGTTTTCAACCAAGTATCAGAAATGAACATTTTATTTTCAGTTATTTAATTTGTCTAATTAGTTTTGAGCACCTGAAATGAAGGGATTGTGTTAAAAATGCTTTAGTTACTCACATTTTTATGCAATCTTTTTGTCCAACCCACTGAATTAAAGCTGAAAGTCTGCACTTAAACTGCATCTCAGTCGTTTCATTTAAAATTCATTGTAGTAATGTACAGAAAAACGTTGTCTGTCCAAATGTTTATGGATCTAACTGTACATACACAAATGAACCCATGTATAGGTAAGAGTAAACAGTAATACATATATATAGTAATATATATAATGATAAAATCTGTTTTGAATTGTGTTTGTTCCTGTTCCGATACATCCTCTGTTTAGATACAGATGGCATCAGTTCAAAGAGTTGTTATACTGAGTTGGATGAGTCTGTTGAGGCAGTGGGGGCTGTAGATGTCTCAAGAGGGGAAGTGGGCAGTTGAAACATTTTTGACAGTGTAAATGACCCTCTGAGAACTCTCCTGTTTCTCCTGAGGTGCAGCTGGTTAACTATGCAGAGATGCAACCTTCAGAATGCTCTGAAAGGAACGTCAGCAGAAGAAAACCTGTGTTTTTGTTTTGTTTTGTTTTTTTTAGTTTATTGGGTCTTTCAAAGAATTCTCAGAGGACAGAGTTGCTGCTGAGCATTCCTGACTACCATGATGGCATTGTTGATCCACTGAATGGTAACAAACACTGGTGATATTGCCCTCCTATAGTCTGTGAGGAGTTCTTTGGGCTTAGAGGTGTCAGATCTGGATTATTCTTTAAGCACCAACTAGCCAGCCTCGCAAATTCTGTCTCACCTTTCTTTGAGAAGAGCCCCACCATCAACGTACCATCCATGACCGTGATGATAGCCCTTTCAGAGGTGCAGTCAGATTTATAGAGTTTGCAAAGTAGGAGGCTCTAAAGGCAGCCCGAGTGGAGCTCAGGATGAGCACACAACATGAATATTCTTGAATTAAGAATCAGTTGATCAGCAAAAACCCTAAAACTGCTAATGTAGTAAACATTCTCTGGTGTCCTATGAAGATCTGTTATCTCAAACTGATATTAATCAAAAATGGGTATAGGGTATAGGGTGCATTGCATATGGAAAATATCCACAGCAAATCACTTGTTCTACATTTTGTCATTTTACAGCCTTATTCCAGGATGACTTTAATTCATTTTTCACCTCAATTCTACACACAAAACCCCCACAATGACAAAGTGAAAAAAGGTTTGGGAGCAATTACCCTCAAGCACAGCCAGTTTTGGATCTCCCCAGGGATGTTCAATCAGGTTTCATTCTGGGCTCTGGCTGGGCCAATCATGGACATTCACAGAGTGGTCCCAAAACCACTCTTTGTTATCTTGCCTGTGTGCTTAGGGCCGTTGTACTGTGAGAGGGGGAGCCCCAGTCCAAGGTGTATAGTGCTCTGGAGCAGGTTATTAGCAATTCTCTATACATTGCTCCATTTACCTTTCCCTCAACCCTGACTAGTCTCAGAGTCTCTGCTGCCAAAAAACATCCCCACAGCATGATGCTGCCACCCCATGCTTTCCTGCAGGAATGGTACTGGCCAGGTGCTGAGCAGTGCCTGGTTTCAGTCGGCATTTAGGGCAAAGAGTTCAATCTATGTTTCATCAGACCAGAGAATTTTGTTTCTCATGGTCTGAGAGTCCTTTGGGCTGTCATGTCCCTTGTACTGAGAAGTGGCTTCTGTCTGGTCACTCTACCATACAGGCCTGATTGGTGGAGTGGTGGAGAAATGGTTATCCTTCTGGAAGGTTCTCCTCTTTCCAGAGAGCAACACTGGAGCTCTGTCAGCGCAACCATTGAGTCTTCACCAAATCTTGTCCCATTTACAAATGATGGAAGCCATTGTGCTCACTGGGATCTTCAATTAAGGTCCCAGTGAGCACAGTGGGAAAGGCTACTGAAATGTTCCTGTACCCTTTCCCAGATCTGTGCCTTGATACAACCCTGTCTCAGACGTCTACACACAAATTCTTGTACTTCATGACTTGGGTTGTGCTCTGACATGCGCTGTCAACTATGGGACCTGATATTTAGAAGGTGCACCTTTCCAAATTATGTCCAATCAACTGAATTTACCACAGGTGGACTCCAATCAAGTTGTAGAAACATCTGAACAGTTGAAACAGGAAGCGCCTGAACTCTATTTTTTTTTTTTTAATAAATCTGCAAAAACCTTTTCACGTTCTCATTATGGGGTACTGTGTTTAGAATTTTGAGGTAAACATTTTTTTCATGCATTCTGGAATAATATTGTAACCTGACAAAATGTAGAACAAGTGAAGCATTGTGAATACTTTCCAAATGCACAGTGTATTGCTGGACCAGCTTCTCAAAACATTGTATAATAGCTGGTATAAGCACAATCCACCAGTGCCAGTCCCAAATCTAGAATAGGTCCCACATATTTCTACCAAAAATAGATGGTCCATGAATGAAAACAGTGACGTCAGTGGCTATGGGAGGGGCAATGCAAGAAATTCACTAATGAATGGCGGCTGTAGCCCACAGGCTTCTTCCACCATGTTTTAACAGCAGTTTCACTTAGGAAATAGCTCAACCTTAACCAAATACAAATGTACAGAAAAACACATAAAAAAATATCAGTTTTATGCCTCAATTTATAACAGCAAGATTTTCAAGTTGTTCCTGCTCAATCTTAGGCCAACATATTTACTTTACACATTATTTGTTTCGAATCTGACTAATTCCTGCACCACTGCTACCTGTGACATGCATGTAGACTATAGGTGTAGCATTAAGTTGAAATGAATGACTGAATAAATAAATAAATAAATAAATAAATAAATAAATACTACATTAATTGCCTCTTTCTGGCATTTTTTTAAAAAAAATTATTCAAAAGTTTGTGTCGTTGTTTTTTCCAAAGAAAACAAAAATCCACGTCTGGGTAAGCAAATTTGATATAAATACACGCACGCATACATACATACTGTACATCACGCACTTCATTTTTATGACCCACTTACTATAGCCGATGGCGATATTTTGTTGGCCTGCGTGTAAAGAGCCCGCCCCCCTACCAATTGAAATCTGCAGCGAGTTAGCCCTGTCAGTCAGTCAAGGGTTAAACGAGGAGTTTGCAGCAGTCTCTCCGTTCTGTCCAAGGCAGTCGGCGGAAAACATCACACTCTCGCTCGTTTTTGCCAAGCTGTGTTTGATTCAACTCATTTCGCAGCCGAATCGCGGAGGCATCACGGCAGAGAAAAACCCGCTCTCTTTCCCAGAAGGCGTATTACTGCGCGTTTCCAAACACAGGTAGGTAAGTGTGGTGTTTAACTTTGTTTTCACATCCCTGCATGAATTAAGATTCCGCAAGAGGACTATCCTACAGGTTGTCGTTTAAAAAGCTGCGGGTATTTACAGGAATGCTAGCCTGAAATGTTTTATAACCTTAATAAAAGCTAAAGGCAGGCAAAGCCAAAGTTCAGTTTTAGTCAAAGGCTGAACTGTCTTACTTTAAATGTTCCAAATTTGGAAGAAAACTTCGTCATAATGATTTTTTTTCCCCCTCTGCTGCCTACTTTGAGATTCTTTTTTCCGTCTCTATTGGGAGTCCAACACTATCCCTAGGTTTCTTTGTGAACTCAATTTCTTTCAGCTTTAACCCTGACTTGGAAAATTGTATTTGAATCTTGAGATATTTCACACAATTTTTATTAAGCATTCACAATTCTGTACCTTCTATCACTCCTGTGTCACGCCTGTGTTTGAGTGCAGAACCCTTTAGTATGAAAGTGTTCTGTGTTCAGTGCCGTGTGTTCACAGTGGGCCTGTGGTATTTCACCATCTCATACACTTGCAGACTGAGTCATTCCCTGATTTCCTCCAGATGTGCAGCAGTTTACGTTTCCTGACGGGGCCAGGATTGTGACATTTCTGCCTTTTGCAGTGCTGTGATTCTGCTGACAAACATAAATTTATGCTTGCTGTATAAGGCCGAGTGTTTGTGTTGTGACATGGCTGGATGCTACACATCCCCCCCCCCCGTACTTATCTGCCAGTTTTTGTGGCTGTTAAAGAGCTGTTAAAATGTAATCCTTTAACTTAAATCTTCAATCAACTGCTGACATTTTACCCTTTTTATAAGACTAACTGCCAGGTACTGGGACTATGACACCACTCTTGTTAGTGCACAAGTGCAATCATGTGTCATGCTCGTGAAGGCTTAATGTGTTGTGCAGCAAGTGTTAAGGGTTGGCTCGTTCTATGCTTCCGAGCAGTGCAGCCCAAACAACATGTCTGTCAGTGTGATTTGTGGTAACTTGCATGACAGCATGGTGAACCAAGCAAACAAGGGCTTACTGCGCTTGTTTCTCTGCCTCCAAAACTGGTACAGGCAGATGAAGAGTTTTGTTCTGGTTTTTTATTGTTTGTGCAGTAGCACCTGTGGGACATCTCTCATGGTATCAAAATTAACTTGATTAGATATACACACACACACACTTTTGAGGGGAAATAAAATGATAATTTACAGAATTTTTATTTTCTGTCTGTCTCTGTTGTGGTCAGGTGTTAGGCAAAAAAAAAGAGTAAAAGCTGCCACAAAGCTAGATAAAGTTTTTGGACAGTTGTCTGGTTAACTGGTTTGAGCCTAGGCAGTTATTTTTAGAGTAGATATTGTTCTTTACGTTTTTTGCGTGATCTCACAGTGCAGCTCTGTTTTCGCTTGTCTTGCAGATGGTTTATTCCTTGTTATTCTGGAGTATCCGAAGGTCAAGTGTAACTTTTCCTTGAAAGTCAGAACTGTGTAGGTAAACTCCTGTTAAAGGCTCCAATTTCCGTTTGTTCTTGCTTAGCTCAACATCACGAGATCTTTTGCTTTTCTAGCGTAAGATTAACTTCAGGTAATTGCTCAACCTTTGCTTGTTTTCAACCTTTGGACTGTCCTACGGTACCCACAGGCTTTTTACTCTGATATTCTAGCCAGTGTAGCCTCTGGAGCTGGACCTAAAGGTATGTACGTTCTACACGTATAGAGCAGGAATCGTTTGGTTTTTTTTGAGGGGGGTGTTCTTTCTCATTTCTTTGTGTTCCTTTTTGGGGTTTTTTGTTTTTTTTTGTCAGAAAACACATGAGTTGCACACCTTTTTAACTCATGTGTCTAAGTGATAATGGGTGTGTTCCAAGTAACAGCAGTTTGGTACATCTAACATGATAAGAGTAAGGTGATGCTGTGGCTTCATCTATAATCCTTTGTGATGTTGTTTGTGCCTCTTGTAGGAAATGCACACACTTATGACAATACCATGTAAAGGAATTCATTGATTTCATGTAGCATGGAAGAAAAACTTTATTTTATTTTATTTTTTAAAAAAGACATGTTTTCTATATGTTAATATTCTCTAAAGCAGTTTACCAGCATGATACTGCTAACTCAGAGTTGACTGGTATTATGATAGATATGCCAAGATGTCTCTTTCTTAAGCTTTAGGACAGTTTACTTCTTTATTGAGCCAATCAACTGACACAGCATGCTTTTAAAGCAGTGTTGAAGTGTCTCATGCCTTCTTATGAGCTGCCTATTTTATTGGTCATGTGTTTTATGCTTCCCCTATGTGTCCCTCTCGTTGTAAATGTTTACTGTGTGTTGTTAAATACAATAATTGCTTATGATGTGGAAAAAATTGTTTCAGTGGCAGACTGTAGAACAGTGCAAGTCTCCCCCCCACCTTTTTTTTTTTTTTTTTTTTTCCCTCACTAAACGGGTTTACCAGAAAAGACTGTAGTGTGCTTTATTTAACTTATCATCTTTCTTTCCCTTTCTCAACACGCACTTGGTGTCCAACTTCACCTTTTCTTTCTCAGAGCAACGCCAAGAGAAGCATGTGTGGGTGTTAAGTCATATGCTTGGACGACCTCATTGCCCCTGAATACGGAGCTGCTTTACCTCTGATTGCCCACTTGTCCAAAGACTGACACCACACCATGTCTGCAGAGGTAGACCGAGCGCACGCATCTTCTGCCGATCCCAGCCTCACCTCTACAGTCTCAACCTCCAACACCCCTCCCAACTCTCCTATAACACAGGCATCCAAAGTCCCATTCAGGAAAGAGAAAAAGAAAGGTGAGTGGAGGAGAAAATGGTGCCGATACTGCTTTCTTTAGCTATTAAGATGTGGCAGAGTTTATAATTTTACTACTTTCTTTGTCTTTTTAATCCAGTAACAGAGAAGACAGATGAATACCTGCTGGGCAGGTTTCAAGGGGATGGTGTCAGGTACAAGGCCAAACTGATCGGCATTGACGATGTTCCAGAGGCTCGTGGAGACAAGATGTGCCAAGATTCCATGATGAAACTTAAGGTACAACGTGGGATCAGAAACTCTTTTCTTCTATCGCTGATTTTCATGGAGAAAATATCAAAACTGTTTCTTAAAGCTGTTAAGTAGAGCTTTGGTGTATATACATCTGTTTGGTGGGTATCATTTGCCCTTAATAGAGTAGTATTTATTTATTTAATTTCTCTCTCCAGGGTATGGCAGCAGCTGCTCGGTCGCAAGGCAAGCACAAGCAGAGGATCTGGGTCAACATTTCCATGTCGGGCATCAAGATCATTGATGAGAAATCGGGCGTGAGTTCTGATTACTGTTGTAATATAATCTGGACTTCCCAGGATTTATTTGCAGTGCTTAAAAAAAAAAAAACCCAAAAAAACAAGCAAACAAAACCGAAAATCCTTGTCCACATTTCTCAGGTGATTGAACACGAGCATGTGGTGAATAAGATCTCCTTCATTGCCAGAGATGTAACGGATAACAGGGCTTTTGGATATGTGTGTGGAGCTGAAGGACAGCATCAGTTCTTTGCCATAAAGACTGCACAACAGGTAACGCACAGAACTGCCATAGACAAAGTGTCTCAATCTGGTCCATTGGACAGGTTGGAAAATGTGAAGTAGAGCATAGACTTTGTTTTTCACAAGTTTTACATTTTTGTTTTGTTTTTTTCTCCTTCCAGATAATGACCACACATACATTCATTCATACCAAGCCAAAGTAATTAGGTACTAGATAAACAATTAAATGACAGGAAAGTTCCTTTTTTTCCTAATTCTAACTAAAGAATTGTTTTTGCTTTTTAAAGTGGATCCACCATAGAAAAAAAATGGTACATTTTCTGCAAATTAACACACACTTTGTTTTTTGTTTTATGATTGTAGGACAGTCAAGGCAATGAGCTACCAGAACACTTTCTGTAATTTTACACATTAATTTATTACAATTTGGGCCCAAAGAATCATCCTGATGGATTTCTATCATTTACTACAGTAGCATTTCCTTATAGTGTCAAACACCATAAACTTGTTATAATTGCACTTCGTTTTTTCTTACATTAAGATATGAGGGATTAAATGTAGTCTGTACACTGACAGAAAGGGGAATTTCACTGGTCCGTATCACTTAAAATTAAAGGTTGCTGTTATGTGGCCCATGATATAAAATGCCATCCCTGCCATAGACTCTCCATTTTAATAAGAAGCCTAGGCACTACAGTGCCACCCACTGGCTTGTGAACTTTGCCTGTCAAACCTGAGTTTTAACATTATAGACAGAAGCGGCCATGTTTGTATGAACTGTAGAGTGCTTATTCATCCAAACATATTTGTTTGCTAGCTAATGCTAGCAAGCAAATAAAATAGTAGAATTTTACTTACGTAAACTAAAGCATATTTTGGTCAGTATACACGTCATCTTGTTTTAGACAACCTTAAAGCGTGGTTGAGAGGTCAAGTTGATGACTCAAATTTGCTCAGGGGAAAGCTTAACAGCTCGCTACCTAGTTGGGATGTAACTGTCAATCAGCCATGTGTCTAATAATGTATAAGTTGATGTCATAAAACGGCAGTTCACCCCTTTATGGTTGTCATGAAGGTAAAAGGTTTACTTAAGTAACTTGTTTTTTGTATGTAGTTGTAAAA